CACACACACACACACACACACACACACACACACACACACAGAATAAACAGTAGCTTGGCTTCCCAGATGAATTTTGAGAAGAGAGACAGTCCTAAACTGAAGGCTGAAGTAGACAGTAGAACGTTGTGCAATGATAGAAACTTCCTGTATCTTTACTGTTATTTACCATATGCAGCTTGGTAGTCTAAATTTAAATAACATTAACATTTAAACTTTATTCTTTCTAGATATGATTCAAGGGTCCATAACCACAGGTGGCTAGTAGCTTCCTTTTGGGACAGATACAAACTTTTTCATTGTTGCAGACAGTTCTTTTGGAAAGTTCTGACCTAAAAGTGTCTTAGTTTGTAGAAATACTATAATCTGGGTGTCTTTATTTTCCCTGGGTGGCTTTTTAACAACAGAAATTATTTCTTACAGTTTTGGGGGCTAAGAGGTCTTAATCAAGGTACCTGCAGATTTGATATCTGGTGAGGGCTGCCTCTGGCCCATAGATGATGCCTTTTTGTGTTCTCCCATGGTAAGAGGCAGGGCAGTTCTCTGAGAGGACACTGCTCACATTCATGAGGGCTCATTCTACATGGCCCGGTCACCGCCCAAAGTCCCAACCTCCTACTGTGATCCCATGGAGATGAAGTTCAACAAGTTAACTTGAAGATCTAGAAAAGAGAAAGACAGAGTAGGAGGACCTCTGAGAGGAAGGTGAAATGGTTAGATGAAAACGAACGGTAGTTTTAGATACTAGTTTTAGTGTTCCTGGGTTTTGGGTCTTCTCTGTCCCTTTCTCCAGCCATCTGAGCAGTGTTGACTATTAAAAACATGCAGTGGTATTTGCTTGTGAGAAGATCATGAGCAGAGTTCTTTATGAATGGTTTCAAGGATATATCTGGCCTGTTTGGTTTGCTTATAAGTAAACCTGGAATTTATAAATTTATGGGATATCATTTATAACTCCATCCCGTGTGATTTATGGACTTATGAGACAGCTTATAAACTCTACAGTCTGTGGGAGTAATGAAGTATAAAACTTAGAAGCTACAATATAAACCATTTCATTCAAGCTGACATGTTCCATGAATTTTGTTAGTACTTGTCTTACTCCAAAATCATTGAGGGAAAAGGGATGATTTAGAGTGTGTCTGATGGCTCAGGGCTTTTTTCAAGAGCAAAGCTATGTGGTTATCTGGTTTTTGCTTCTACGTTTTTGGCTAATCCTTGGTAACTTGGTGTGGGGAAGAATCTGATGATTAGTGTAAGTTGGCTTTGACAAGGGAGGCCTTTGTGGTATGGTTTACAAGCTCTTTTTAGATGTTTTTGGAAAGTTACTTTTTTGTTGTCTTTTGACACAGGTTGTGTGTGTGTGTGTGTGAGAGAGAGAGAGAGAGAGAGAGAGAGAGAGAGAGTGTGTTCCAGTCTTGGGCTTGAAACTCAGGCACTAGGCTTCTTTTGCTCACAGCCAGCACTCTACCACACAGCTCTACTTCCAGTTTTCTGGTAGTTAATTGGAGATAAGAGTCTCACACTGAAAGAATCCTTCACGACCGTTGCAGGGGACCAAGCAGAGGCAGGCAGGCACAGGAGAAAGATGAAAGATTATTATGAGGTTTATTAGAGGGGCAGTATCTCCCTGGCAAGGGGAGCATATGGCTTCTACCCCTATCCAAGTGGCAAGGCAGGCCTGGGAGAGGAAGTGAGGACAGAAGTGAGGTAAGTGTGTGCAAGGTAGATCTGGGCGGAGAGAAGGATTGGCTCGCTGTGTGGTGGGAACTCTAGATCACGGAGAAGCTCAGGTCTGGGTGGAGCTGAGGACCAGAGGTGGAGATTACACAAACACACACTTTCCTGCCCTGGCTGGCTTCTCCTGCCTGGGCTGGCTTTGGACCACAATCCTCAGATCTCAACCTTTTGAGTAGCTAGGATTACAAGCCTGAGTCACCAGTGTCTGGCTCAAAGTTACTTCTTTTTATCAGGTCAAATTATTTTCTTCTGCTATGAGGATGATTGGTCTCTTTTCTCCAAGAAAGGAGAATTTTATAAAGGGAGTATCAAAAGACTATTAGAGGCAAGGTATTTTGTTCATGCCAGGAAGTTAAAAAAAAAAAGGTAGGGGAGGGGAGAAAAAGGAAGAGAAGGGAACACTTTCGTCCTTAGAACTCTAGATGGTGGCTCACGCCTGTAATCCTACCTACTCAGGAGGCTGAGATCTGAGAATCATGGTTCAAAGCCAGTCTGGGCAGGAAAGTCCATGAGACTCTTATCTCCAATTAACTATCAGAAAACCAGAAGTGGCTCTGTGGCTGAAGTGGTAGAGCACTCTCCTTGAGTTGAGGAGCTCAGGGACAGCACCCAAGCCCAGAGTTCAAGCTCCACGACTGGAAAAAAAAAGTCTAGATGGATACATGGATGTATTTACTAGTTTCTGTCAACCATCTATGTTTGTATGCATGCATGTAACTATCATCTACCTACCTACCATCTATTTTTGGAAACAAGATCTTACTATGTAATCCAGGCTGTGTTTGAACTCATAAGACTTCCTGCGTCATCTTCCCTAGTTCTGGGACTGCAGTGTTTATCACTGCCCAGCTTTATGAAATACTACTTAACAAATGAGCAAATGCTGCTTTTGCTTATGTTTATTGTTTAGTAGGTTTGCAGTTACTCTAAATCTAATACTTGTCCTTAAATGAGAGAGAAAAAGGGACCAGCAGTTGTTGATCCCAGGCCCTTAGTAAGTGCTTAGATCTTTATACGGATTATCTTATTTATACCTTCAGAACAATCCTGAGAGGTAGCTATTGCTGTGGGTTTTTTTTTTTTTAATAAATGAGAATGTTAAAAATGCTTGATAAGGGGCTGGGAAGGTGGCTCAGTGGTAGAGTGCTTGCCTTGCATGCCTGAGGTCCTGGGTTCGATTCCCCAGCACCACATAAGCAAAAAGAAAAAAGCCGGAAGTGGCGCTATGGCTCAAGTGGTAGAGTGCTAGCCTTGAGCTGAAGAGCTGAGGGACAGTGCCCAGGTCCAGAGTTCAGGCCCCATTGACCGGACCCCCCCCCAAAAAAAATGCTTGATAAATGGAAGGGTATCATACTTTTTTTTTCTTTCTGTTTTCGGTTGGTTTATGGGGCTTGAAGTAGGGGCCTGGGTACTGTCCCTGAGCTCTTTTGCTCAAGGCTAGTGCTGTACCACTTTGAGCCACAGCACCAATTTTACGGTGGCTAATCAGAGATAAGAGTTTCACAGGCTTTCCTACCTGGGCTGGCTTTGAATTGTGATCCTCATATCTCAGTCTCTTGAGTGGCTAGGATTATAGGCATGAGCCACCAGTGCCTGGCTTGAAATACTTTACTATTTGACTCTCAAACCTCTCTTTGACTTAGAATCAGTTTTTCCGTGGAAGTCCTTCAGATGACATGTGGACTGATACAGTGTTTGAGAGATGTGAGTGCATGGTTTGAATGAAGTTGCCAACCAAGTCTTAATATGAGAGAGCAAGAGACAGAGGTTTAGCTTAGTCTGATTTTATTACTGCAAATTTATCACTGGCAATTTGATAAAAATGGTATAAACTGATTGTACCAGGTCCCTTCTTGTTCTCTCCCCTTCTCTCCTTTCTTTTCCACTCTCCTCTCCTCTCTTCTTCCCTCTCCCCTCCTCTCCTCTCCTGTCATCCCTCTCACCTCTTTTCTTTGCTCTCTTCCCCTCCCCTCTCCCCCTTGCCCTCTCCCTCCTTCTCCCCCCTTTCCTTCTCCTTCTTAAAAAAAAACAACAAAAAGCAAAACAACCAAACAACAACAACAAAAAAAACCAAGCCAGGCGCTGGTGGCTCCTGCCTGTAATACTAGTTACTCTGGTGTCTGAGATCTGAGAATTGCAGTTCAAAGCCAGCCAAGGCAGGAAAGTTGTGAGACTCTTATCTCTAGCAAACCACCAGAAAACCGGAAGTGGTGCTGTGGCTCAAGTGGTAGAGCTCTTGCCTTGAGCTGAAGAGCTTAGGGAAAGCGCCCAGGCCCAGAGTTCAAGCCCCACAACTGACAAAAAAAAAAAAATGCAGTTTTTCTGCTTAGAGGCAGGTGTTGTACCACCTGACCCTCTACCTCCAAAAAGAAGAGGCCCTGTTGTCAGTTAGCATGACCTTCATTTTCTGTCTCCTAGTCTTTTGAGGCCAAGGCAGTGGTGTTGCCACAGGTACTCACACATGCAGGTACGTGTGAGTGGCGGAGCATAAGAAGCAGGTAGGCTTTGAGTCCCTTGGGAAAGGTTTATTTGCATCTACAAAGTTAGAAGACTGAAGTTAGGGTATGTACACTTCTTGTTTGTCTTAATTATAGTTGAGAACAAGACCTTTACAAAGAAAACTGTGAGAATATGGAAACCAGGCTTAGAGTAAGACATCTTTAAAGCAGTCTATATTCCGGAGACAATCCATTTACACTGAGTATGTTCTGTAGCTGTGTAGGGAACATGCATTAGCTGAATGAATGCCTAGTCTTTGAAGCATTTATAATTGTTTTTTAGTGAGAATTCTGTAGAGTTAAAATCAAACCATTAAAATGTACCTGTGTCCCTTTAGTGACCAGGTTTTTGGCTTTAGCACTCAGCAGCTTAATAACTGTGACTTGGTTATGCTAAATAAGGGCATGAATGCAAACAAGGTATGTGGAAGCTTTTTTCTTTAGAATGCTGTACAAGTTATTATGTCAATAAATGTTTTAAATTTACAGATAAAAATGGAAAAGGCTGCTAAGAAGAAAGGAAAAGTTCCATTGCCATCAATTAAAAAACTTTCATGAAGCCTATTGGAAAAATGTAAACCATCATCCAGATACATCTTTTTCCATGTTTACTCAAATGGAATAATAAAATTTATTTTCTCTCATTATTTAGCTTGTCTTACGGAAATATATCTTGTTGAATGTTTTCTTCATTTATTGAAATAATATAAATTATTTTATCAAATTTATGGTTTACTACTTTACATGTACTTTTTTTTTTTTTGGTGTTGGTCCTGAACTCAGGACCTAGTGCTCTTCCTGATCTTTTCTTTTCTTTCTTTCTTCTTCCTTCCTTCCTCTTTTTTTCTTTCTTTCTTTCTTCCTTGTTCTTTTTCTTTCTGTCTTGTTCTTTTTCTTTCTTTCTTTCCTCCTTTCTTTGTCTTTCCTTTTATTTTCTTTTCTTAAGGCTAGAACTCTATCATTTGAATCATAGCTCCACTTCTGGCTTCTTGGGTGGTTAATTACCGATAAGAGTCACGTGGACTTTTCTGCACAAGGCTGGCTTTGAACTGTAATCATCAGATCTCAGCCTCCTAAGTAGCTAGGATTACAGGCATAAGCCATAGGTGCCCAACCTTTACAAGTACTTAAAAAAATTTTTTTTTGAGACAGTCATGCTTTATAGTCCTGGCTTTGAACAGATTATCCTTCTTTCCTCAGCTTCCTGAGGTTTTTTTTTTGTTTGTTTGTTTTTTTGTACATTTTATTGTAAAAATACTGTACAGAGGGGTTATAGTTAAATGAGCAAGGCAATGAGTACATTTCCTATGGAGCATTGTTGTCTCCTCTTGTTTTCCCCTACCATCCCTTCCCTCCCACCTCCACAACTACTCCCCTCTCCCTCTCCCCCCACCCCCCAGTATTTTTTTTCACTCTTAAAAAATGAGATCTTCTCTCTCTTAGCAAGTAAGATTGTTTTTTATTAGTCAAACCCTGCAAGCACAACAAGTATTGTTAATCTATCATCATTTCACTTTTTAGGCTTTAAAAAAATTAAAGATAAGCTGTGCATGTAAGTTGGGCTCCCGTGGCTCATGCCTGTAATCCTGGCTACTCAGGAGGCTGACATTTGGGGATCACAGTTTGAAGCCAACCTGGGCAGAAAAGTCCCTGTGAAACTTCAGTTAACTACTCAAAAATTGGAAATGGTGCTGTGGCTCAAGTAGTACAGCTCAGAGACAGCACCCAGGCCCTGAGTTCAAGCCCACAACTGACATACATACATACATAAATACATACATACATAAATAAATATTATAAAGGTCTCTAAACAAATATATAAGGGCCACTTGTTCATTCAAAATAGTATGCTAAAATGATTAAGTTTTTACTTCCCAAGCTTTGGAATGTTGATTTATATAAATAAAAACCATTCTTTAAAATTATATATATATATATATGTATTCTCTAATAGTATCTGGATTTTTTTTTACATTGTGTCATAAACTATCTATTGCTTATAATTGCCTTGGACACCTCTTGTGAGGCCCATAAATCCTCTGGGCCCCACTTTGCATTCCAGTACTGCTGTAAAACACTTCCAAGCAGGCTTCTGACAACTTCACATGGAAGCTCTTTGTCTTGGGGTTATGTCATGGCCTTTTCTCACAGATATTCTCTGACACTGTGGTTTGGGAGGCCCACTTTAATCCCTCTGCCTCATACATTGGCAGTCCAAAGATAAGGGGGCACTAATGATCCACCTTTGAGTAATTGGAGGTGGAAGTCAATATATAAATACTCCCTCTCCTGTTTAGGCAGTTCTGAGATGCATTTCATAAGCTTCCTCAGGAAATCCTGTGGGAATGAGCACCAGTCCCCAGACAAATGCTCCCCATTCCCTCTCCTGTTTAGGCAGTTCTGAGATGCAGCTCATAAGCCTCCTCAGGAATTCCTGTGGGAATGAGCACCAATCCCCATACATTTCCAACCCAATAATACATTCTTACCTTAGCATTCTTTCTTTCCTTTTCCACTCCTCCATCCCCCGTTTACATCTGGCCACCCCAGGTTCCTTTCCAAATAAATTATTTGTATGAGAATATTTGTCTTCGATTTTAATTTTGGGTGGAGGAATGTTTAGTGCTAGAAATGATTTTAGGAAGCAGACACTAAGGATAGAATCCTCTGAGTAAGTTATATGGCAGTGGGTATGGATGAAGTGTAAGTGAAAGCTGAAGTGTTTGGCCAGGCAACATCTGTGTCACTACAGTAGAATGAGACCAGTGAGAATCATGAAGACTGAAACGTTGGTTATCTAGTGTTAACTGCATTGGAAGGAAATGACAATAGATTTAGGTTAACTACTTAACCCAAGGCATGCTGTGAGAGCCATAGTTGTTCCATAACCCTTTAAGGAAAATATCATCTTCTGCAGCTGCAGGGTTGACTGTGCTGATGATCAAGCTCAAATTGAGAGGGTGACAAGGCTCCAAAGGAAGCTGAATACAAGTCAGCTTGCTGACAGGAAAAGAACAGAACTCCCCATCAGGGGCTTGGGAAAACCTAAGAATCTTGAATCCTCAGGTTTCTTTGAATCTCTGAGCTGGCAGAAGTACCCCTCAATTTAACAGAGGAGAGCAGCCTGCCCTTGCCTATCCTGCAAAGGCTTTATCTGTGGAAGCAGCATCAGCATGACATGTGTCTTCCTAAAGACCCACCCTTGCTAACACTCATTGACTCCAAATAACTAGCTTTCAGCATATCTTATAGGGGAAATATAGTCCTGCTTCTGAATAGGTTGCACTCTGAATGAAATGCCCAGGAGTAGAGTTGGGGAAGACTCAAAGCTTCATAGGACCGGGGTGCTGGTGGCTCATGCCTGTAATCCTAGCTACTCAGGAGGGCTGAGATCTGAGGATCATGGTTCAAAGCCAGCCCATGCGGGAAAGTGAGATTCAGCTCCAATTAAGCACCAGAAAATCAGAAGTGGTGCTGTGGCTCCAATGGTAGAGTGCTTGCCTTGAGCCGAAGAGCTCAGGGACAGTACCCAGGCCCAGAGCTCAAGCCCCATGACTAACACCACCACCACCACCAACAACAAAAGCTTCACAGGAGAATGCTAGGGGATTTCATGCATGATATAATGCTTGAACTGGAATATCTCGAGATGGTCTTAACGGATCACAAAGATGGCATGACACACAGGGGATAATGCTAGAAGTTATGTGGCACAGGAAAGAGTCAGAAAAACTTGGGATGTGAGAATATTAGTGTTAGGTTTTAAAAAGAGGCCGAGTAAGAACAGCACCACGCACGTGGTATTCAGGTAAGGGGTAGGTTTATTCAGTAGACCTGCTGGGACCAGGCCAGGCTGGCACTCCACACAGCTGGCAAAGAAGGTGTCTGGCCCTGGGCTAGGCCTTATCTAGGATAGGAGTGGGGAAAGGTGTGGCCACATCAGATCCAGATGTGACCTCAGCGGATGTGGGGGTGACCTCTTCCAGGTGTCCCAGTTGCCTAGGTGACACAGGTACTGGGTAGGGTCTGCTCACCATCCAGGAGTGGACCTTACATTCCAGCCTTTTAATAATCATGAAATGGGGCACAGATTCTCTCTGGCTACTTCCTGCTGACAAGGGGCGTCAGAATGTGGTCCCCTCCCAGAGAAGGCAGAGAGCAGCAGTTGTCCCTTGGTAGGCATGAATCCTTAGATGATATCTGCAGGAAGCCAGTCTCTTGGAGAAGTCTGGAGGAAGTCTTCTTAGGCAGGAGGCTGGACAAAGATGAGAAGGAAAAATATTACTGAAAAGATTGGATGTCCATGGCTTGGAGGTGACCTAAGGGATGAGGTAGTGAGGTGTGTGGAGAGGAGAGCAGTTAGCCCAGTGTTACTCACCCGGATCTTCAGGGATTCGAGATAGCCTTACCTTGGTAGGCCCAAGGGGGGAACAGGTGTACCTGGAAGTCAGTGTTGGTCTAGACGGGGCAGGAGCAGGAGCCCTTTTTTTTTAATTTTTTTTTATTATTGTTTTTTGGTCCGGTTGTGGGGCCTGAACTCTGGGCCTGAGCACTGTCCCTCAGCTCTTCAGCTCAAGGCTAATGCCCTACCACTTCAGCCACAGTGCCACTTCCGGCTTTTTCTTTTTGCTTATGTGGTACTGAGGAATCGAACCCAGGGCCTCAGACATGCAAGGCAAGCGCTCTACCACTGAGCCAACTTCCCAGCCCCCAGGAGCCCTTTTTATTATTTCTTTTTCTTTTTTTTTTTTTGGTCAGTCGAGGGGCCTGAACTCTGAGCCTGGGCGCTGTCCCTCAGCTCTTCAGCTCAAGGCTAGTGCTCTACCACTTGAGCCACAGAGCCGCTTCTGCTTTTTTTGTTTATGTGGTGCTGAGGAATTGAACCCAGGGCCTCATGCATGCAAGGCAAGCGCTCTACCACTGAGCCAACTTCCCAGCCCCTCAAATAGGGTCTTGCATGTATGTCTGGCCAGCCTGGATTACAATCTGCCTATTAACACTTTTTACCTAGCTTGGATTGTAACAGAAATAGACACCTAAATATGCTTACAACTCAATAACCAGGATGTTTTTAGGTAGAGTTTTAAAAAGAATTTTTTTTTCTTTTTCACTTTCTTATCTCTCCTTCCCTCCTACCCTACTCTCCACGGGAAGGGATTCAGAATGTCTTCTTATCTTACTGATCATAGAAGTGAAAGAACCCATTCAGGACAGGAATGCAACTCTGGAAACTAACACTAGCACATCAAAAAATAAGTGGAACTAAGGCCACCATCTGGTCCAAAGTCATATCTCAGTATACACATCTAGTAGTCCACGTTCCTGAGCTTTTCCATAAAAACTTCTACCACTACTAGGGACTGTGCTTCCTTCTCAGATACCAGCTCAAGTAGTTCTCATGTTGTCTGGAAAAAACTCTGGTCTTATTATTTGTGAATTGGCATTGAGTTCAGGGAACTAAATTTCCAGTAACAAGATGACGGGTGGGGCTGAGAACATGGTTTAGTAGTAGAGTGCTTGCCTAGCATGCATGAGGCCCTGAGTTTGATTCCTCAATATCACATAAACAACAACAAAAAAGACAGGTATGTACTATTATCTGATTGAGATAGGG